ATTGTAATTTACTTTGTGTTTTAGTTTCTTGATCCCAATGTTCCAGATATGTATTTTTAGATTGTTTGATAATTTGATTTATTTTGATGTTTGGATGAGAAGCAGTGCTGGTTTGAGACTGGTTAGTGTTAGTAGAGTTAGTCAGGTTAGTAAGTCTCAGAACTAGCTGACTGAGTGGACTCTTTTCGGGGTTCAGTTCTTGGGTTTTTATTGCTTTAAAATGTAGCGATTCTGTGGGACTTGATTTAAGATGCATCCAGAATTTGAGGGATCTTTTATGCATATTAATAATCAATGGGAATCGGCCTAATTCTATCTATCTGTCTATCTATGTCTGTCTGTCTGTCTGTCTGTATCTGTCTGTCTATCTGTCTGTCTGACTATCTATATGTCTGTCAGTCAGTCTGTCTGTCTGTATCTATCTATCTGTCTGTCTTTCTTTCTGTCTGTCTGTGTCTATCTATCTATCTATCTATCTATCTATCTATCTGTCTGTCTGTCTGTCTGTCTATCTATCTATCTATCTATCTATCTATCTGTCTATCTATCTGTCTGTGTATCTGTCTTTCTTTCTGTCTGTGTCTGTATCTATCTTTCTTTCTTTCTGTCTGTCTGTCTGTCTGTCTGTCTGTCTGTCTGTGTATCTGTCTTTCTTTCTGTCTGTGTCTGTATCTATGCATGTATTGGTTCACCAGCTAGACCAGCACTAACCAGCATAAACCAGCCTGGAAATTCATTTTAAGTTAGTCTTTTCAGCAGAGCAGTCTGGTTCCAATTACTATGTGTGGAGAAAGTGATGAGAAGAGAAATAGAAAGTGGAGGGGAGAAGATGAGAACATTCCTGAAAAAATAGCTTATTTGTCACTATGTAAATGTGGTTTGTTTTAAAGGGTTAGTTCACCCAAAAATGAAAATTCTGTCATTAATTACTCACCCTCATGTCATTCCAAACCCCTAAGACCTTTGTTCATCTTCAGAACACAAATTAAGATATTTTTGATCAAATCCGATGGCTCAGAGAGGCCTCCATTGACAGCAATACCACCCAAACTTTCAAGATCCATAAAGGTACTAAAGACGTCGTTAAAACAGTCGACGTGACTACAGTGGTTCTACAATAATTTTATGACTTTATTCAACAACCTCTTCTCTTCTGTATCATTCTCATACGTTGTTTACGTTCAGCGCTTCCAGGTTCTACGTCAGAACGCCGGCTCATTATTTGACGGCTCCTGCATCAGCATCACACGCATGCGTCGCGCTGCTCACATGTGCAGCTTTGGCCAATAATGAGCCAGCGTTCGGACGTGGAACACGGAAGCCTTCACTGTGCTTACTGCGTTAACCGCGTAAGGATAATGACAGGGAAGAGAAGAGATTGCTGAATAAAGTTATTATTTTTGTTTTGTTTTTGCGCACAAAATGTATTCTCGTCGCTTCATAAAATTATTGTAGAACCACTGTAGTCACGTCGACTGTTTTAACGACGTCTTTAGTACCTTTAAGGATCTTGAAAGTTTGGGTGGCATTGCTGTCAATGGAGGCCTCTCTGAGCCATCGGATTTGATCAAAAATATCTTAATTTGTGTTCTGAAGATGAACAAAGGTCTTAGGGGTATGGAACGACATGAGGGTGAGTAATTAATGACAGAATTTTCATTTTTAACAAACAGGCCCCTTCAAAGGAACGCTGTACCCAGACTGTCAGCCCACAGATCAATGAGTGAATTAATGAAGTATGTTTGATTCTCTGTCAAACAGGGCTGTTCAGCTCATTTCTCCAATCTGATGGGTTATCAGTATCATCAGAAACGCTGTGGCAGAGAGCTACCAGACGGACAGAAGCCTGTCTTCCTGTGCCAGCACTGTGGTAAGACATATCGCTCAAAAGCTGGCCGTGACTACCACCTGCGCACCGAGCACCCCGTCACTGCCCTGTCCACACACTCGGTGAGATTACACAGCCACACTACATGTCACAGTGCTAATCTGATGTCACAAGCAGTGTCATGTTATTGATAAGTAATTAATCCAGATGTATTTAAATGTCTTGTTATATCACCCCATTTAGCTCACAGCTGAGGACTGGAAACAGGAAGACAGTAAAGATGAGGAGGATGTGCTGGAGGACGAAGAAGAGGAGGAGGAGGAGGAAGAAGAGGAAGAGGAAGAGCCTGTGCAGAAGAAGGGCAGAGAGAAGTCAAAGGAGAGAGTAGATGAACCGGTGGAGAAGATGGAGGAGAGGAAGGAGGAGAAAACAGAGATGGAGGAGCTGCTGGATTTGGAGAGGACGCCCAGTGGCAGGGTGCGCCGGCGCTCGGCTCAGGTGGCAATGTTCCACCTGCAGGAGATCGCAGAGGACGAGCTGGCCAAAGACTGGGGCACCAAACGACGCATCAAAGATGACCTCGTACCAGACATCAAGAGGGTACAGCAGTGTTGAAGCTAAAACTATAAGTTTGTGACAAAGTAGCCTGGCAAAGTATATAATTATGTAAATATCTGAGATTTGTTTATTAGCAGTATTTATATAACACAAAGCAATGACGATATCAATTAGTTTGACAGCATCAAGTTTAATTTATATTTCATTAAAGACTATATGAAAATATTAGGGCTGTTGATTTAATGTGTTAATTTGATGTGATTAAATATGGAAAAAAATAAATCGGTTGAATGAATGAATGACTCACTCAGTGAAACAATGACTCATTTCATTAAAAAAATTATTTCATGTTTCAGTATTCATTTTTAAAAAACTCATTTTTTAATGTCTATTTAATGCTTTACTCTTCTAACACAATAATGACTTTGAAAATTGATGTGCTGTTAATTTTATTCATTTGACAGTCCTAGAAAAAGTATAGTGATAAACAGAATAATGTAATTTTAAATATTTATTTTATATTTACTTTATCATTGAAGCATAGGTACTATTTAATTGAAACGTTTTGTCTCTCTGTTCTGTTACTTTTTGCCAAACTAATATCATGCTAATATCATGCTATTAAAAAATGTAGTTTCTTTCTAAATTTTGGTTGTTACTACTCATATACACATTTAACTACTTATTTTTTAATAGCTGTGTACACACTTTCTTTTATAGCTCAACTATACACGACCAGGCCTTCCCAACTTTAGCCCAGAAACTGTGAACAGCTGGAAGAACGAGGTGAAGGAAAAAGGATTTATCTGCTGCCCCAATTGTGTAAGAATTTGTCTTGTTTTTCTGACTGAACACTGACTTCAACAGTTTCTAGTGCTTCAATGACAGATTCTGACCTTACCGTTTTTTTTTATCCGCTTTGGTACTATTTTCACAAGTAAGGTGTATATTTTCAAAACTCTTAGCACAAAAAATCAAACTGACCACACTTGTAACATCATTAGTCGTTCTTTCAAAACCTGATCTCATGCTTTCTTTACAATTACACATATTTTCATCCACAAAATCATTGTTTCAAAACATAAGATTAGTATAATATATACTGAGAACATTTGATTTAATCACTGAAACACAGCATTGTGATCATCTTTCAATTTAGTACTTTTAACAATTAGTTCATTCAAGAGCAAACAATGCAAAATACATGTTTCAAATCACCTTTGTTGCTGAAATAATTATACAGTAAAACAGGCAAAAATTGTATTTTAGAAAATACACTTACATTACCTATCTTGCATAACTCACTTAAAATCCATAATGTTTGTAAAAGTATTTATCCAGTGTGTTATCAAAAGGTGTGATGAAGGTATGACATGTTCATAAGGTTTTGTGCTAGAACAGAGTTTACTGTCAATGTAAATGTAAAATGAAATGCAAATGAAAAGTTTGATAGTGAGAGCTTTATGAAAGGCAGTTACTGTGAATGAACATTTATATAGATGAAACACTTATTTTGTGTAGTGAAAAGGATATTTTGTGACTGTGTGTATTGTACTAAGGCAATTGAAAATATGCTGAATATGCACTTTTGATGATCTGTTGTGATATTAGAACTAAGTTTTGAAAATTTAACAGGTGCTTTTGAAAATTGCACTAAAGCAATTCAAAAAATGTAATATGAACATCTGAATGATATCAATAGATTTAGATTTGCTGGAGAAACTGAAGAGCTCTTGAAAATTGTTTAAAAATGCTGAAAAAAATGTTGACATTTTTGTTGTTCAGTTCTTCTCCTCAAGTCTCTTTTTATTTCATAACAGAACTGTGAGGCTATCTACTCAAGTGTATCTGGACTTAAAGCACACTTGGCAAGCTGTAACAAGGTATAACAAGTCCTCTGTGTGCTTTGCTGTAGTTGTTATTTAATTATAAATAATTTAAACAACTGTATAAGCTGTATACGTTTGATCTCAGATATTGCTGATACTGTATCAGCTTTACTGTTGTTATTGTTCTCCACACAGGGAGGGGGCGACGTAGGGAAGTACACTTGTTTGCTCTGTCAGAAGGAGTTTAACTCTGAGAGCGGCGTGAAGTACCATATCAGCAAGACACACTCTCAGGTAAACCAAACACTCACTAAACCTGTATTCTGTATGCTTAACAAAATAAGCTGAACATTTGCCTTTCATAGTCTTCTAGTATTAAGAAATGTTGACTGTTAAAGGAATAGTCCACCCAAAAATGAAAATTATTACCCTCCACTTGTTCCAAACCTGTATGAGTGTTTTTCTTCTGTTGAACACAAAAGGAGATACTTTGAAGAATGTTGGTAACCAAACAATTGACAGTAGCCATTGACTTCCATAGTATGGAAAAAATACTATGGCTGTTAACAGAATTTTCATTTTGGGTGAACTATCTCTTTAAGGCCTGTTCACAGCAAGTTCAATATGAATGAACAAGACAAGTTTGAACAAGTTTGCAAAAACAAAACAAAAAGTACACTATAATGTAAATTTTTATTATCTTCAGAATCCATTGAATTTATTTTAATAATATTTCCATTTGTTCATAAGTTTTATAAGTTTACATATGTTTACAGTTTACATTACATTTTAGCTTAGTTTTTATTTTATAGACACTCTTTGGATTTTTATATATTTTAGTTTTGGTTTTAGTTTTAGTTATTATAGGTGTGTAATCTGATTATCAGAACATTTTCAGAATGTATTTTCAGAATTCAGAATTATCTAAAATAACCAAGACATTTGAAATGAATTTTTCATTAATTAACTTTTATATTTTTGAATAGATTTTAAATATTGACTGGAGGGATTGGATTTTGCAGAAAATCGGTTGAATCCTTAAGTTAACCCACGTTAATTGTTTTAACAAAAGTCTCTGCAACATCTCTGCCGTCATATGGAAATTATTATTTTCTTACAGCTTTATTGAACAATATAAATCCTGCACACTACACAAGTTTGTATCATCACAAAAACCTTGCTAACTTGAATTTTTGTTTTGAGGGGTTTCTAGATGAATAGTTTCCTTCTAAAATGTTCTAAGGCTGAAAATTCATGCAAATTCACTAATAGTCCTTGTTATCGGTTCCTCTTTGAACTTGATGTGGCCTTATGTGCACAGAACTGGTTTCGGGCATCTACCAATGAGGTGACTAACAACAAGAAAAAAGAGCCAGAGAGCAATGGCTTACAGAAGGACATGAAAAACGTAGTGCCTGGGAAGAGGAGGGGACGAAAGCCCAAAGAGCACCACCTGGTGACAGCCCCCTTTCCAGCAGAGACTCAGAGCTTCAGCTCTGCTCCACCCCAGACCGTAAGCCCAGCCCCAGAAAGCCAAACCCTCACGCCCAACCCCGTCACCAACACCCCAACCACTCCCCCTTCCCCAGTGGACAGTGGGAATCCAGCCCAGGCCAGAGACACACAGCCCCCTAGAAAGAAACGAGGCAAAACTAAGAAAGCGTCGACCACTGAGTAACACGGCTTTTACTCCGTCAACACCAGAAGGGATGTTTTCCGAACTTCTCCAGATAAATCTTTAGTCAATTCGGTCATGGAAATGAAGGATGGCACAGAAGAACAAGCTCGGAAAGATGAACGGCAGAACAAGGGGATGAAATACAGCAGAAAACAACAATGATTTGCTCTTGTATTGTTTTCACACTGATCTTTGTGTTTTTTAAGATGAGTATATACATTATGTGTGTGCTTGTGTATACTTATAAATATTACCCCTGTTGTTTTTTCATTCCATTTTTATAGTTGATTTTAATAAGTTGTTCACTCTAAAGGGGTCAATAACATTTAAGCTCCCAGTTGATATATATGGTATATATATATATATACATATATATACACATAGGCCTTTATGGAAGCTTTTTTTAGAGCAGAAGTTACATTTCTACATAATTTTTGGGTAGTTACATCAATATGTCCGGTGGATTCATGATGTGTTTGAATGATTTTTTTAAAGAATATCGAACTCATTCAATTAGCATGGTGAGCTAATTTACTGTTTTATCACGGTTATACTCTGCTGTGTACATGTAATATCTATATCTATATATGAATATATTCAAAGCAATTCATTTTCGTCCATCGGTTTCAAACAAGGTGCGTCAAAAAAGTTGGTCATCATTTAGGTTGCTTTTCCTCTGATGTGTTTGGGATTGTTTGGTCAGTGGCAGCTGAACGGAGTGTTGGATTTAGATCGACGGCTGTTGTAACAGTGTGCTACTGTGCAATAGTTTTGCTTTCGTGGTTTCTTGTCCTGTCTCTTGCTCGGAATCGTGAGAGGTCTAAGCCCGTAGCCTTGCGTAACTCCCTATCCTACATCCCTTTGGGCTGTTTGCAGTAGTTTGTAGTTTGCTGCAGTTCACACGGAGGTCTTTGTTAAAACCTTTAACTGCTTTGAAATTTGGTAGTGCAATGTGCTTTCATTTTGTCTGGTTGTTTTTTATTGGAATAAGAGCTTGTGGTGCTTAACATAGAAGGAGTATACAGTGCAGACGATTAGAGAAATTCAAATCAATGATAATAAATTACTACAAATGTGTTGGCAGGAAAAATCTAATCCTTCAAAGCATAGGAATGCCCTTTGACATCTGTGATGTCATCAGTCCTTGCTTAAACTTAAGGGGTCATTCACACAAAAAAAAAAGTTTTTGTGTTTAAAAACGTAAGACGAGAGGCAGTGGAATGAAAAACAACTTTTTGAACTTTTAAATCACTGTGTCGTGTAAGATGCATGACACACATGGCCATCTAGCGCATGTTTACATAGAAAACCAGTGGAAACGCAAAAATGCGTCCTGTGTGAACGGCCCCTAAGACTCAAACTGAAAAAAAAGGAAATTTGGGTGAATCTCACAAAAACTGTCTGAATAATTTCACTTCAAAATAATAGCAAAGAAAAATAAAGTTCTATTTTGCTAAAAGTAAATGAAGCTTTTTTTTTAGGATTACTAATTTTTATGTGCAGTGGAACATCATTTTTATGACAATTAAACACATTGTACTTCCCAATTCTATGGGTGCCTGTTTCTGCCACAGAATAAAAAATAAATAAATAAATACAAATTTTAAAAATAATTAAAAAGAAAAGTAATTCTGAAGAAAAGTGTTGTTTATGAGTTATGAATTATGAGATATAAACTCACAATTGGAAAAAAAAAAGTCAGAATTGTGAGAAAAAAAAACAGAATTGTGAAAAAAGTCAGAATTGGGAGATGAAAACTTGCAATTGTGAGAAAAAAGTTCTAATTCTGGAAAGTTTTTTCCAGAATTATGAGGTTATGTCTTGCATTTCTGTGTTTTTATATCTTGCGATTCTTTTTCCAAAGAACTGTGAGAAACAAAGTCCGAATTGTGAGATATAAACTCTCAATTTACTTAAAGAAAATAATTTTGTGATAGAGAGTCTCAATTACTTTTCCCCCCAAAATTCCATGGTGGAAACAGGCTCCTATACAATTCTCATTACCAACATGAAAAAAGTTACATTTTCATTCATGTTTTGTAAAAATAAATTCAATAAATTATAATAATAAAAAATATTATTTGAAATGTTTAGGTTTTATACATTATGGTAGTATTTTTTTGTACTGCTTAATAAATAAGTAATTAAAATAATTTATATATATATATATATATATATATATATATATGTATTGCAGTAATGATTTTTTTCGCTTTACAGTAATAAGAATTTGGTAGGCAAATGTGCTTAATAGTCAGGAGAATAATGTCACAATGCAATCTTAACAATGGTAAAATTAGACTTTTGTTCATGCAAAATTATTATTATTTTTTTCCATTTGATTTTAGGGTGAAATTTGTCCATGTTCTTGTGAGATTCGCCTGTTTAGTTCACTTTTGATAGGAGTACAAGCAATGTGTGTGGACCTCAGTTACTGTATGCAATAGTGAGAGTGTTTTGGGTGCACAAGCACGTGGTGTGAAGCATTGAAGAGCACAATCAGAATGGTCACTGCAGGCTTTATCCGAACGTTTCTGAATCAGACAGCGTCTGTCCAAAAACAAACGTGACGTCTGAATGGTCCTGCACATACTGATTCCCAAGCTTCTGATTAAAGCCTGTTATTAAACGCTGGTATTGCACTTTAACCCCTCCTCCCCCTCCCTCCTTATCTTGCACTTTGCAGGCACTGTTAGGCTTCCATTCTCCAACCTTAAATGAGTGGCTCTGTGTTGTGAGATCTCAGATCAGTTTCCTTTACATAAATCCACCACACGAGAGAAACTGATCGCAGACGGGCCACCCCGAACGCCTGCCATGTGATCCGTGTGATACGTGCGAGGGGAGCCCGTCCTCCATTCCCCAATTTAGAAAGCAAATCTATGTCAGATAGGAAATGGAAATTATGTTTGAAGCCATAACAGTCCCCTTGAAGGTGACTTATGGAAGCAGTGTGTCTGTTTATTCTTCCTCAGTTTGTATAAAAGATTATAGATTGAAAAAATATATCATTTGCAACATGAATTAATTATGTATTCCAAAACCCTAATAATTCTGAGGTACTTGAAATCGTGAAAAAAATTGCCATAAAATTATTAGCATACAGGTCACAAATGGTAAAAAAGGATAAATTATTAAAAATATATTTATCTAATGAGAAAAAAAGAATAAGCTCAAAGTTGCATACGTTTATTTTATACTAATACTGATGTGATCTTAATTACATAGTTGCTTAAGAAATCTAGGGTCGGTATGTCGTGGTTTTAGACTTAAGGTGCTAGTAGCCAATCTACCTTACCGAATGTTGCTCATTAAATTATGAAGCAGTTAGTCTACCTTGCCATCGAGTCCCACGTTTCTGACATGAAATACTGCAGCAGATCTTATTTTAACCGTCCTGCATCGGAACGGAAGCGTCAAGCATTAAATGGCAAATAAAAATCTTCTGTGGCTTCAGTCACACTGAAATCCCCCCTATTGCACTGTACTTAGTCTGATAAAAGATTAATGGTGACTCTCACAAAAAACTGTTAAGAACATGTATCTTATTTCATCCCAAAATCTGAAAAAAAAAAAAAAGTGAATCATCGTTGAAAGAAATATTAAAAAGTACAAATTGTCAATGCAAAAACAAAAATTAATAATTAACCATTTTTAAACATGTAAATTTCTACTAAATGTTACTAAATTGCTAAATGTCTAGATGCATAAGCATAATTTTCTTTAAGCAAAATATGTCTATATGTAGTGTGTGTGTGTATCACTTAAAGAAAATGATGTGATGCAGTAAAATAATTTACTATATCATTTTTAAACAGTTTTGTCTTAATGTATTGTATTACTCTAAATGTCTCGATGCATAAGCATCATTTTCTTTAAGCAAAATATTTCATTTTTTAAATTTTGTTTTATAATACAACCTTGACGTGTTCTCCACATTTCTTACATCATATTTCATCCTCGCCCCCTCCCAAAAATATATAGTATTGTAAATTAATAAATAATTCTAAATCTAAATGTACTACATTACACTTTTTTAAAACTGTCATTTGATTTTGTGGTAAAATGCAACATTAGCATGTTCTTCACAGGTTTGTGAGACTCACCCTTCGAAGACTCACATTCTTCTGAGTGAACATTAGTAGAGGACAAGGCAACATACTGTATGTATCATGCATGATGCCAGGTTAAATCTGAGATAGGAGCTCAGTGTTGCTCCATGACATTTCTGACCATGTTGTCTTATTCCTGTCACTGAGCTGTAATGTTGCCATCTTGGGTCCATGGAACCGACTGCTTTGACATAGACAAGCAATGTGCTTTGAGTTTGGCCCAGTAGAATGTATCTTTCTCAATAGAAGTTCAGTTGTCACACGATATTGCTTGATTTGCCATCTCATGACACGAAAGGTGGCGTGTAGTTTCCGCTAGGAATATTGTGCGTGGCTTCAATTACCCGTCTTCCTAGATTATGTGGCGTACACATATGCAGACGTTGTACGATCATGACACTGCAACCGATTTATTTCAAAATTACAGCAATAGCTTGCAGTCGGAAGCACTACTGCAACGGTAAATGTGATTTCCAAAGCTTGGTGCAAACTGTATCCGCTTTCTTTTGCTTCTTTGCTTCTTTCTTTGTGACATAGTTGCTTTAAACTATTTGATATGATCTTGCGCTTTTCTATACAGGTCGAAATACATGTTGAAAATGTCCTTTTGTCCAAAACGCTATACACAGTGTGGTGTGGTGTGTGTGTGTGTGTGTGTGTGTGTGTGTGTGTGTGTGTGTGCGTGTGTGTGTGAGAGAGAGCATGTAGGTGTGTATTTCTGTATTTAGTGCACATGTAATCCCATGAAATAGGCTTGAATATGGAGTGTCGGTAGAGATTTTGGTGAATTTGATTGTGTGCTGTGGAATTTTGTACTAAGGGGGTCTGTAGAAAGTGGTGCCCCCTACCAGTTTTTAAAAATCATTATTTTCATCACTTCAGCTTTTGTGTGAAATGAGGATTTCTCATGTTAGAATTTGACCCATCAGAGGTCTGACGGAGAACGTCCTCAAAGAAGTTTACAAATAGAAGTCATTGTGTTTCATTTGAAATGAGTCTGAGCAGGCCCTGGTCTGAGGTACAAAAGTATGATCCAAAAACGTCGATTTTATTCAGATGCTCTAGAAACGGTTAGATCTATTAATACTTATCCAATAATGTCAGTAATGGACGAAATGATCTTTTATTCCTTTAAAGTTTTTACCTAGGTTGGCAAGAGTTCTGAATCTAAACTATTATTCTGTCTCTTTTTCCCCTGGTGTATTAACTGTGCATTAATACCCCTCAAATAATTAATAAAATGTTGACAAAGATTTGACTGACTGATTTGTTTGTGTGTGTGTGTGTGTGTGTGTTTGGATGTATTAAATGTCAAATATCACCCCAAAATCAATAGAGAAAAAATATAAATATTTTTAAATGTAATTCATAAAATTAAAGGAATATTATAATAATATTTTATTTTAGAATAGTGTGTTTTTTGTGGAAGTCATGATACCTTTTTTATTTATATGAAATAGAAATCATTTGTAACATAAATGTTTTTACTGTTTTTTGATCAATTTAAAGTGTCCTTGCTGAAAAAAAGTGTTAATTTCTTTCAAATCTTACTGGCCCAAACTTTTGAACAGTATATGTATAAAATAGCCTATATATCAATCCATTTCTAAAAAAGTATATGAATAAAATATGTACCTTATTGTTATAAGATTTTTTTAAAGGTTTGTGTTAATGTATGTATAAACTATATTTGTTGATGTTGTTTTTTAAAAATAATAGGTTTGTATATAATATTTATAACGGTAGTGTATGTATAAAGTATAGCAATTTATAAAATGCATATACGTTAGTAACATGTATAACATTAATTCATTATATTATTTTTAGTAAATTATCACAAGTTAAATTCAGTACAGCAAACGCTACCATGAGGTATCCCTAAACCTGTACTTACAAATATACTTTACACTTTACATTCTGGGATTTGTAGTTCCCTTTGGCTGAAGACACGCACGACCCCATGAAATATGAAACTACATATCCCAGCAGCATCAGTTAAGCCTAAAGTCGCAACAGCTGATTGTCAAATAGGAAACTAACGATGTCAGCCGTGTGCGCAGACGGAAGGGTCTCGGCGATGGAGTGCGGAGAGAAATCAGCTGTGCGCCGCACAAGGTACGTTTTAAGCTCTTTAGCGCCAGTTATTAAGACTCCTGTTCTTTTAATTTGTTTCTATACATAGATAACATTTTATCGCGATGATGATGATGATGAGCGCTGGAGCGCACGTGCTGGGAGTCAATGCTGCGTCTCGCGTGTTTCTAAGACTTTACAATACACACAGGTTAATCATAAGCATCTAGCAATATTCATAAACGTCTTCTAAAATAACAAGAGGTGTAGATACTTGTTTCGACATTATTATAAATGTATGACCCTGTTTACTCGTCTTTTTTATTCTATTAGTATTATTTTGTGGGTCTGTCCACAAAATACGGTCTTTAAATAGGCTATGTTTAAAATGTGTTTTCTTGAAAAACAGATTATCAGTAAATGTAAGTTCCTGCTCACTGTTGCTGTATGACAGTGAAGCGCATGGTGCCATGATCTAGGACTAGGTAGTATGTGTTATGACTCATATCATCACCGTTATTTCTGTGGACCGTTTTTCAGCCACACCTAACTATGAATGATATGTGCTGTAAGTAATTAATCTAACGTTACTTTGCTTACAGTACATCATTGTTAACGACACCTGTAGTTGAGTTGATTTCATTACACTTGGTTGGTTGGCCATGTATTGACTGGTGTTTTGAACTAATACATAGAATAAATTCTTAAACTACAGAATATTTTGGAGTAGTTTTCTATAAATAGATTCTAAATTATAGTTTATATTTCTCATTCTCTCCTCTTTGTGTTTGCTTTGAGTCGCAGCGCCGCAGTCCGCCGCCAGAGGGCGTGCTCATGTAACTCATTACTGTATATTTACACAGAGCCAGCTGCTGTTGGGAATGTTCTCCATGTGTGTAAGCTGACATGTATAGGATTGAAGTGGAAAGAGGAAATCTTGAATTATACAGCACATATAGATAGCCTACAGTAGGTGCATCATTGCATCTGTATGATTGTGTGGATCAGCTCTTCTGGGGCTTGGATATACTTCTTTTAGGTTGCTATATATACTGTACACTACAGTTCAAATGTGGGGTCAGTAAGATTTTTTTTTTTTAAAGAAATTATTACTTTTATTTATAATTATTTAATTAAATTGATCAAAACTCATAGTAAGGGTATTTATGATGTTACAAAAAATGTCTGTTTCTAATGAATTCTGTTATTTGAAACGTTCTATTCATCAAACAAATTCTGAAAAAATGTATTGTAGTTTCCAAAAATATTAAGTAGCACAATGGTTCTTGAGCAGCAATTTAGAAATTAGCATATTAGAAGGATTTCTGGAGAATCGTGTGACACTGAAGACTGGAGTAATGATGCTGAAAATTCAGCTTTGATCACAGCAATTAATTACATTTTAAAGTATATTAACATAGAAAACAGTTCTTTTAAATTGTTAAAAATATTGTTGTGTATACGGTATTTTTTTTTATCAAATAAATCCAGCTTTGGTGAACATGTCTACCAAAAACATAAAAAAATACTGACCCCAAACTTTTGAATGGTAGTCTATATATGAATGCATAAATATACACAGATCAGGCATAACATTATGACCACCTTCCTAATATTGTTGGTCCCCCTTTTGCTGCCAAAACAGCCCTGACCTGTCGAGACATGGACTCCACTAGACCCCTGAAGGTGTGCTGTGGTTTCTGGCACCAAGATGTTAGCAGCAGATCCTTTAAGTCCTGCACATCCCACAGATGCTCAATTGGATTGAGATCTGGGGAATTTGGAGGCCAAGTCAACACCTCAAACACGTTGTTGTGCTCCTGAACCATTTATGCTTTGTGGCAGGGACCCTGTCGCCGGTTCACCACTGTTCCTTCCTTGGAGCACTTTTGATAGATACTGACCACTGCAGACCGGGAACACCCCACAAGAGCTACAGTTTTGGAGATGCTCTGACCCAGTCGTCTAGCCATCACCATTTGGCCCTTGTCAAACTCGCTCAAATCCTTACGCTTGCTCATTTTTCCTGCTTCTAAGACATCAACTTTGAGGACAAAATGATCACTTGCTGCCTAATATATCCCACCCACTAACAGTGCCGTGATGAAGAGATAATCAGTGTTATGCACTTCACCTGTCAGTGGCCATAATGTTATGCCTGATCGGTGTAAGAATTAATTTATAAAAAGTAGTGCTGCTTAATATTTTTGTGGAAACCTTGATACATTTTATGAATAGAAATATAAAAATTAATTTTTATTTATTTGAAATAGAAATATTTTGTAACATTAAAAATGTTTTACTGTTATTTGTGATCAACATAATGTGTCCTTGCTGAATAAAAGTATTAAATATACAAACCTGTACAATAAAATATAAATAATATAATATACTTATACATTCTTTAAGGATTTGTGACAGTTTATGTGTGTATGACAACTCTATTATTGTCATCTTTTTTGGCGGATTCTCATAGTAAGTTTTAATCATGTTATCATAATCAGTTATTAATACTATTATTAATTATTAACTATTATTACTAGTAATGCTATTATTACTATAATAGTAAAACATCTAATTATTGGGACTTTTTTTTAGTTAAGGATCTTAATACACACAGGACTCACAGTTTTATATAGAGTATGTTTGTGGAAGTGCATGTGCTGTGACATTACATTCAGTACTGGCTGGGATACTGAGTTTCATCATGATGTTTGTGAGGGGTGTCCCGCGAGGGGGGGCAGGTGGAGATACGCCCCACAGGACAGGCTGGTTGATATGGTGATCGCAGAGCCCTTGGGTGTATTATAGAGAGCGCACAGACCTCGTGACACCAGACTGCGTCTCCACACCTGCTCTCACACCCAGTGCTCCCCGCTTCACAGAGCAGCCTGATTTGTTTATGTTCCGCGCCTAAGGACAACATTCAAAATCGCTCTTTCATGGAGCAGCAGTAGTCCGAGTGTCACAGAGACAGATGAGCTGCCCCGTAAGAGGCCAGCGGAGGGGGGCGTGTGCTCTGCGTGTTTCCAACCTGCTGCTATTAATACCACCCGCCAAACATAATCTGCGGGATAGGTTATCCTCATGTTTGTTGGCAGGGTCCATATAGTAGCATGTTAGGGACAAAGAAAGACTGAACGGTTTGTCTTGAATGGTCCCAGCCCACTAAACGCTTGTGACGGTGAAAACAAAACCAAACCGTCGTAGAAAGCACAGTTTTGTTTTCCTCCCCTCTGCTTCACTTTCGTTTCTTCCTGTTCCTGTGGCTCTCCTCGGCTTGCCAGAGGGCAGGCGCTCTGAGTGTCCGTGTATGCGTGCGTCCCAGCGGTTATATTAGCGCTGATCTTTCTCTGGAGCTCTCGTCTGTCTGCCTCTGCGCGCCCATCATGAACACACTCCCAGCGTACTCGGGAGCCAGGATATCAGGCTGCTGGGCTCTTAGGGCAGATGGAAGGTAAGCCTGGTAACTTGAAGTCATTTTCAGAGCATCTTTGTGCGCATCCTCAGGTGTGTTGTTTTGTTGTGCAGTCTGCGCACATACTTGTATGGTAAATTCAGCCGTTGCTGACAGGACTTTCTGCTTTCTATGTTTGTTTGTTAAGCTCGTTTGCATCAGATTTATGTATTTGCAGAGAACCTGAGCTTATGATTGGCACATCTTGTCAGGTTTCAATTGAATAAGCGATCTGCACAATGGTGTATTCTCATACCGTCCTTGAGTGAACTCATGATGCGAACCAGAAGTTGCTGATGTGCTGTCGTTTAGGTTAACGTCTGTATTTTTTAAAGTGATCCTTCACCCAAAAAGGAAAATTCTGTCACGTTATTCATCCTCATGTTGTTCCAGACCCATATGACTGGCTTTCTTCTGTGAAACATGAAAGGAGATGTTTTGAAGAATGTTCATACTGCTCTATTCCGTTAGAAATATGATGTACGAAATTATGGGTAATTGTTGAAACTTTTATTTGTTATATGGTATTGTAACCGTATTGAATTACTTTACAAAATCAGGTTGATTTTGATGAACAAACATTGTTAAAAGTTACATAATAAAACAATACACAACAAAAAGTAAACCAATCTCTCAAACAGATTAAAGTGCAAAAGAGCACAACTATAAGAGAACAATAATAAAGAATCAGAACATTTTCAACCAATGTCTAGGTATTGTTTCAGGGTTGGCATGTTTTAGTGTAAACACTGTAAAAGTAAAATATGACATCTTTGAATATTTGGTGTTAGCAATACATAGCAAATACAAAAATCTGAATGGAAACCTGTAAATACTGGCCAATGTGAAATTCGTACTGTAATCCAAATTGTATGTAGGATTCGTGCAGAGTTGTCAGTTTTAATCAGTTGATAGAAAAGAAGTTAAATAGTTCACCCGAAAATTAGAATTTTCTGGACATTTGCTCAACCTCAGGCCATCCAAGATGTAGATGAGTTTTTCTTCATCACTTGCTCACCAGTTGATCCTCTGCAGTGAATGGGTGCCGTCAGATTGAAAGTCCAAACAGCTGATAAAAACATCACAATAATCCACAAGTAATCCACACCACTCCAGTCCTGTGAAGCTGAAAATACCTGTTAATTTTTCATGTCTCGTCGCATTCTGTTAAGAATTGCATGAATCATGTAAATTATAGCCTATATTTTCAATTCAAAATGGTGAAATTTGACAGAAAAAAGTTAAGTAGTTTGCATCATTAGATATTACTGTTGGTAATATAGTTTAATCTGTCATTTAAGATTTTCACCATAAAACTGTTTTCAAATATTAAAGGTTCTCCGTTGGCAGATATTTGTTCTTGTTTTAATTATAAATTCACTTCATTTTGATAAATCTCTCAGAAAGAAAGACTTATCTTCCTATGTCATTTTGTGTCTCAAGTTTATGTTATTTAAGAATCTTTAAACATTTGCACTCGAAAACAAGACAAAAATACTAAGGAAGGATATTTTTTTTCTTTTCATATTCTAGTGTTTGGGAGCAGAGCTATTCAAGCCCTAAACTATTTTGTTTGTGAAATAAATGAAAAAGTAATGGAGATCTATAGGAAATTGAATTTTCAAACTTTGGTAAGACATTTACATTAAGAGACCATATTGACGCATTTGTGTTCCCTTCAGTCTATTCCTTAAATTCTCTTTAGGCTACTTGGTCTTAAAAAGTCTTAAATTTACCATTAAAACCCACCCAGAAACCCTGATAACATTAATCCATTTGGCTGGTGCACTATATTTAAAGTCTCCAAGTCATTCGATAGCTCTATGTGAGGAACAGAATATAGTTACATTATTTACTGAAAATCCTGCCTTGAAAGTTGTGGTCACCATACATTTTCATTCTATAGATATTTAATTGTGTAGTGCAGCTTGGATATTCTGCTATAAATTCTCCTTTTGTTTTGTACAGAAGAAAGAAAGACATACAGTAAATGAAGACAGACTGTCATTTTGGTTGAACTGTTCCTTTAAGAGACAGAGACTTTTATGAACTGTACTTTACAATGGTTTTGTTTTGTTTTTCTGAAAATGTAAGGGCAGGGTCCACCGTTTGACGTCTTATCTGGTATCGCTCTCATATTGTAGCAGGGCAGATAAACTAGAAAGCCAAGGTGATCTCTATTCGCACAAACAGAAACTCAAAGGCACACTCACCACACAAGACATCTTTTCTGCCTGGTAAACTTGCTTTTTTCTAGTTTTACCAGTTGTACCGTAGTTTGTAGAGGTTCAAGGTCTAGGCATTGTGGGTTAACCATGGTATGTAAGCATGTTTAGGGATTACGCAGTCATGCACCACATGATCTGACTGGCTTTTTAAACATATAGATGATTAATTGAGAGTAGGCTGCGTGTTTTGTTTATTTCTTCTACTTAATGGACAAGTACATGTACGCATCTTCTGTGGACGTTTGGCTTTCCCGTCTGCTTTAGTAAGTATTTTTCTTTAAACCTTTCAGTTTCTTGCTGCTTGTGAGCTCTACTAAGTTCCTAAGGTGTGACCCACACTGCAGTGTGCCTCTCATAGGCGTCCACCAATTTCATCTTGTATCTCTTTCATTGATTCATGACTCATCAATCATTACAGAAATGCACTTAGAAACCATTCCAGCACTCAGAAACCAGAGCTTGTTTTCAACAAGCAAATGCACCATTAGCATAGTTTGCTTATGCATACTGGTAATTATTAATCACACATGTAAGTGGTCATTGCACAGTCTATTTACAAAAGTATGTAACAAGTAATAGAAATTATCAGCATGTACACGTACTGTAAATATGTGCTTATTATTTAAGTTAAATATAATGTGGGCAATGTAATGTTTGGGATTAATATTGGGCTTTAAGCAGATAGTTGTTATCCAGCTTTCTTGCTAGTACCTTTGTGTCTATATTTGGTCCCAAAAAATTGAATTATTTTCAGTTGTGATATGATATCATTGATGATACATGCTTTATTTTTAATTGAATTAAAGGGATAGTTCACCCTACAATGAAAAATCTGTAATCACTTACTCCCCATCGAAACCCATAAGACTTTAATTCATCTTCAAAACACAAATTAAGATATTTTTAATAATGAAACTTGAGGGTTTCGTGTCCCTCCATTAAAATCCAAGTTTTCTGAAGAGACACGATCACTTTATATGATGAACAGATTTATTTTGGCTTTTATATGCATACAAACATTGATCAATAGACATAGAGAATATCAAATATGGTAAACGAAAGCTCAACCATACTTGCTTTGCACACGAGAACAAACCTCAGGGCCTGTGAGTTATCTTTAATCACGCTATGGTACCACTGCCCATATGTTTTCATTATTAATAACAAGGGATGAAACGAAAAACAGTTGTTCACAATGAGGTCAGTTGCTTTGCTCAAGCTGAACTGTCATTAACAATTTATAACCGACATGACGACACGATATTTCAATTATCTCCGTTTCATTGATCATGTTGTACCACATTTACTGTTGACGTATTTGCCAGGTTCAGTGTAATATGGGGCTGCTGTTGTTTGTGCCAGAGGCTACAACATACTATAAAATTTATGATACCACTGCTATCAGATCTTGATAGTTTTTTTTTTTCCAGTCTTTCCTCATTGAAATAGATGAAGCTGCACTGCCTATTATCTACATAGTTAAAGGTAGTTATAGAGGCGTTGCCATAATTGGTAACCTTGTACAGTTTGTGAGCAGGAAGTCAGAATTGACACAGGAAATAGCAGGATGTGACTTGTCTTGTTCACTGTATCTTGTTTCCTCTTTTTTTTATAGTGGCGGTGGGGAAGGCTCTCTGGACAGGCTCCTCCCATCCATCAACACCAGCCTTCATGACTCATCAATCATTACAGAAATGCACTTAGAAACCATTCCAGCACTCAGAAACCAGAGCTTGTTTTCAACAAGCAAATGCACCATTAGCATAGTTTGCTTATGCATACTGGTAATTATTAATCACACATGTAAGTGGTCATTGCACAGTCTATTTACAAAAGTATGTAACAAGTAATAGAAATTATCAGCATGTACACGTACTGTAAATATGTGCTTATTATTTAAGTTAAATATAATGTGGGCAATGTAATGTTTGGGATTAATATTGGGCTTTAAGCAGATAGTTGTTATCCAGCTTTCTTGCTAGTACCTTTGTGTCTATATTTGGTCCCAAAAAATTGAATTATTTTCAGTTGTGATATGATATCATTGATGATACATGCTTTATTTTTAATTGAATTAAAGGGATAGTTCACCCTACAATGAAAAATCTGTAATCACTTACTCCCCATCGAAACCCATAAGACTTTAATTCATCTTCAAAACACAAATTAAGATATTTTTAATAATGAAACTTGAGGGTTTCGTGTCCCTCCATTAAAATCCAAGTTTTCTGAAGAGACACGATCACTTTATATGATGAACAGATTTATTTTGGCTTTTATATGCATACAAACATTGATCAATAGACATAGAGAATATCAAATATGGTAAACGAAAGCTCAACCATACTTGCTTTGCACACGAGAACAAACCTCAGGGCCTGTGAGTTATCTTTAATCACGCTATGGTACCACTGCCCATATGTTTTCATTATTAATAACAAGGGATGAAACGAAAAACAGTTGTTCACAATGAGGTCAGTTGCTTTGCTCAAGCTGAACTGTCATTAACAATTTATAACCGACATGACGACACGATATTTCAATTATCTCCGTTTCATTGATCATGTTGTACCACATTTACTGTTGACGTATTTGCCAGGTTCAGTGTAATATGGGGCTGCTGTTGTTTGTGCCAGAGGCTACAACATACTATAAAATTTATGATACCACTGCTATCAGATCTTGATAGTTTTTTTTTTTCCAGTCTTTCCTCATTGAAATAGATGAAGCTGCACTGCCTATTATCTACATAGTTAAAGGTAGTTATAGAGGCGTTGCCATAATTGGTAACCTTGTACAGTTTGTGAGCAGGAAGTCAGAATTGACACAGGAAATAGCAGGATGTGACTTGTCTCATTCACTGTATCATATTTCCTCTTGTTAATAGTGGCGGTGGGGAAGGCTCTCTGGACAGGCTCCTCCCATCCATCAACACCAGCCTGTCGCCACGGAAACGAACCACCAGCCAGTGCAAATCAGAGCCTCCGCTGCTGCGGACCAGTAAGAGGACCATCTACACCGCCGGACGCCCGCCGTGGTACAATGAACACGGGACCCAGTCCAAAGAAGCTTTTGTTATCGGTCAGTGTATTAAAGCACTCCAGGGAGAAACAAAAAAGCACCACCACAATCTTTGTCGACCATCGTCAAGTGTCAATTTACTGGTCTGTTTTTACCCATAGGGCTTTGCGGAGGCAGTGCCTCAGGCAAAACAACAGTTGCTCGTAAAATTATCGAGGCCTTGGATGTTCCTTGGGTCGTTCTTCTGTCAATGGATTCATTTTACAAGGTAACACATCATCTCATTGGAAATCATTCATGCATTAAATGTCCCTACTGATTTATTTTGCATCTTTGTGTTTGCTGGCGTGTCTTTTGTGGGCACAGTTTTGGAGACAGGCCGAATGGTTTTGAAGTAAGCGAAACGGCAGAAATTAGCATAGTGGCTGAAATGGATGAATATTTTCTTCTGTTACAATTCCTTGAAGATATACAGTACGTGAAAAATGCCCAAACCCTTGTGGTTTGTTAAGTTGCAGTGGCCGCGTTCACAAAATGTATAAAATTGAAACATTTCTGAAGATAAACTTTGAAGTAATTCTTGTTATGTGTCCATATGAATGTGTCCTGATGTGTGTGCGCAGCTAGAGTAAATGTGTCCTGTGAATGGACTCTCTCATATGTGCTGAGTGGACAAAATGATATATAAAATAAAAAACAAAGTTTTTGTAGAGTTGTTACTGAATTTGTAATTCAGTGAAAAGTCATATCATGACTGATCATTGTTTACATTATCGATCAGTGGTGTCACTACAGTACACTCCCTAGCGCTCAAGGCCTAAATTGAACACATCATCAATCGTTAAATGTGACGTTTCTTCTCCGCACAAACTCAGTCCCTGCAAGTGCTGTGAGTTTGAGTCGCTTATAACGTGCATTTGAAAATGCAGCATGTGCCATTTTATTATTATCATTGTATAAATTATTAAATAATTTACAGTTCAGTAGTATTACAGTAATATATTTTTGTTGATTTGTTTAATTAAAAAAAAAAAACTAAATAAAATGGTTATTAAAATTGCAGTTAGATGTGTTTCCCCAGTTAGTCCTGCCTGTTTTAATGAAGTAATGCACATACAGTTTCATGGCTGGTAAAAAATATTTATGGTAAGTAAATGTTCTGAAGTCACTGGCCATTGGCAGGTGTGGCAAAATGTAGGCCCTGATTATATGCATATGTAGTTAGTGTCATGTTGTAATGCTTAAGTCAAGTCATCTTTATTTCTGTAGCACGTTATATAACACTGATTGTGCCAAAGAAGCTTTACAGTGTTAAACCGAAAAATAGTTTTTCAATGAAACAAAATTCAATATTTTAATTATATATTAATATTTCACACGACCCAATAAATGAATAAACATCTTATGCTGTGTGCACACCAAAAGCTAATTTAATTGTTTACACGAGTAGATTACATACAAAGTCAATACAAAGACGCGAATAGACACCAATTGGGCGATGCGATTGCAGTGAACGCACAATATTCGCCTCAATCGCGACTTCTGCACAAGTTAAAAAATTTCAACTCAAGCGGGAAAATGTAATGCAATGTGAATATTTGCTTTGCTTTTGGTGTGCACACGCGATTAGCTTTGGGGATTTATGATGATTTTTCTGTTCAGGACTTCAAATTCTTTTCCTTTTTTTTTTCTTTAGAACAGTCTTAAGCAAAAGAAAGTTTTGGGGAATACAAAATATTATTTTAAGTTAGAAATTAAGAAGAAAAGAAAATAATTTGATGATTAAGAATGCTTCGTGAATCTGGCCCCAAGTAGTCAGACTCAGGTACTTGTTGTTTGGGAATCTTTTTTGACTTGTTTACTTGAATTGAATCAAAACTATCTTACAGCATATTTGAGTTTCTTCACAGTTGCCACCCTTTGCAAAGTTAAACCTAAATTCAGTGTCTAAAATTGTGACTGGCAGGGTGTCATATATTTTCACAATTTGTGGAAATCAGTGTGGAAATTCTAGTTCATGAACCCTCATCCAGATGTGAGAATATAAAAGCTCTATCCAGAGATATGAAACGTTCATGCATCTGTTCATATAAGAGAGAGAGAGCGTGTACAGGAGCCATTACTTCACTTTGAGTTATCTAATGCATTATATACTTGAGGCAGCTGGTGGCTTTACAGCACAGTGAGGAATCTCAGAGTAAACGTCGCTCAGATCCTCTCACACATCTCAGGTGTGCTGAGAAACGCAAGCATCTTTACTGTGCTCTGCTGCAGCATTAAAACACGTCTTCGTGATGTTTGAGTGAGCTGTGTTAAACAGCCGTTCACCCTGTCATGTGAGGAATGTCATTGACACTGTGTTTAGTCTGCAGAGGAACGGCACTGTCAGGTGGATCAGAGCAGCTATTCTAGACTAGTTAGGCATTTGTTTAAACGGTTGACCAGCTGTTGTTGCATAGCTGAAGAGAAAACATTACATTTGTATGAGGTGGAAAAGGCAGAATCACACACAGCCAAAGAAGTAAATCTATGAGTGTGTGTTTGCGTACATGTACCTGTGTGTTAATGTTCCTCCTAAATTTAGTTCGGCTGACCTTAGCCATGTGCCCCACGGGAGGACAGGGGGTGATAATACCACACACTTCATTTGCTCAGTGGACTGGCACTGTGTCTTAAATAAGACAGAAAATATATCCCTCCATATTTGTTCTCCTTATATATATATATATATATTGATTTCATTTATTAAGGGAAAAAAGCTGTCCAAACCTGCCTGGCACTATGTGAAGAAGTAATTCTATTAAATTACTTCTATTAAAATCTAATAACTGGTTGTGCCACCCTTTGCAGCAACAACTTCAAACGAACTAAAAACGAACAATTGCTTTACTCCGAATTGCCGGTATTTTAAAGTGAAAGTAAAATGGGCACACCGCTTTTACAAGCTATTTAAAAGCGAAGGAAAGCGAGGAAAATAGGGAACGCCCCGCCCCCGCGGTGATACCGGTTTTACCGGTGTTGTCACACGTCGATTAACCGGTGGGAAAATTTCCTCACCGACACAACCCTAGTTTGATAATCTGAATCTTTTAAGTGTGACAAATATGCAAAAAATAAAAAAAACAGGAAGGGGGCAAAAACCTTTTCACGGCACTGTATATATTACTATTTTATTTTATTTTATTTTTTGTTTCATTTTAATTAAAATCATTTTTTATTATATCTTATTGTGGAAATATACACTTCTAAAATTCTTAAAACTTTTTTTTTTTGCCTTCACAAAGAATATATAGCCTCTAATCTCTACAAAATGTTTTTTTAAATTGCTAGATTTAAAAAAAAAAACATGGAAATGTATTCGTCAAAAGGAGTGAGAGCAGTCTGTCTCTCTGTTTTCCCAACAATTCTGCACATCTGCATTATCTCTAATACAATGCACAAGCATTCAAAAATTTGGGGTTGTATTATTTATTTATTTAGATTTTTTTTTTTTTGTGTTTTGTCTTTTATGCTTAACTTTTATGCTTTTATACTACATTTGTTTGATCAAAAATACAGTAAAACTGTCATATTGTCAAATATTATTACAATTAAAAATAACTTTCTTTTTGGATATATTTTGAAATGCAATTTATTCCTGTGATGCAAAGCTGAATTTTACAGTCTTCAGATCCTTCAGAAATCATTCAAATATGCTGCTCAATATCTATTTACTGCTCAATAAACATTTCTTGTTATTTATATTGAAAACCGTTGTGCTGCTTCATATTTTTGCATTGTGTTTTTTTTTCAGGATTCTTAAATTAATAGGAAGTTCAAAAGAACAGCATTTATTTGAAATAGAAATCTTTTAACATTATAAATGTCTTTTATTGTCACTTTTGATCAGTTAAATTCATCCTTGAATATTAATGAGTATTAATTAAAGAAAAAAAAAATCCTACTGACACCAAACATTTGCATAGTAGATAATGGTATATCTGCAATAATAATAATAATAATAAACTTTTATTTTCCCCATTTATTATCAGATTGCTTTTGCTGTTGTTTATATTGAAGTAGTTAGCCTCTCATGGCTGTGTGTGTTAGTGATTTTTACCGTAGTTTACCCCTTTGCATCATGTCTAACAGCACACCTTACCTGTGGTAAAACCACTGTAATGCACAAACCCTCATGGCTTTTAAAACATTTACTAAATGCATGATTTGCAATGGCAACTATCTGGAGGAACCTGGTGTTGTGTCTTGCTCAAGGACAGTGAGTTCATAGGTCAACCCTTGTCTGTTTTGAACCTACAACCTTTCAGTTACCAGCCTTGATCTGTAACCAGCAGGCCACACCGCTGGCAGATATTTGAGCTGAAGTCAGAGGTGTAACCTTGGACTGTCTGTTGTGACGTCTTTCCTGCAGGTTCTGACGGCCGAACAGCAGCTGCAGGCTGCTAATAATGATTACAACTTTGACCATCCAGACGCCTTTGATTTCAGCCTGCTGGTGCACACTCTCCGCAAACTCAAGCAGGGCAAGAGCGTGAAGATCCCAGTGTATGACTTCACCACACACGGACGGCAGAAAGAATGGGTGAGTGGAAACACACACACAGAGCGTGGAGAGCTGATCATGTGTAAAATCATTTATATGAGATGAACAGAATTTGTGGGTTTGATGTTCCTCATTTTTCTCCTCTGATTCACATGTGCCAAGTTTATGTAAATTATCAGTGTTGTGGAAGCTGCTTTGAAAGCTGCTTTATGATTTTAAAATGGCTTAACAACAGTCAAGATACCTTTTGTAAAAGTGGCAAAAGTCAACTTTTTGATATATTCCTAAACTGGGTTGTGAGTTCATGAAAAAGCTAATAACTAATGAAATCATAAAAAAGAAAAATAATGACATGATAAAAACTTAAAAATGACAAATCACAAATGTGTCAAATTAAAATATTTAATTGTAAGTATAATTAAATCATAAAATATAAAATTAAAATAGTTAAAAAAATTAATATTTAAATAAAAAAAATTAACAATTCAAAAAAATTTTTTTTTAAATAATTAAATCATAAAAATGTGAAATTAAAATATTTTTTAAATTAATCATAAAAATGTAAATATAAATCATAAAAAAACTAATTACATAAAAAAATGTACAATTAAAATAATAACAAAATTAATCACAAAAATGTAAAATTAAATATAAATTATTGTAAAAAGTAATAAAATCATACAAATTTTTAATTAAAATAAATATGAAAAATTAAATCATAAAAATGTAAACTGAAAATAAACAATTTTAAAAACAAAAAATTTAAATAAAACGCTTACTTAAAGCTGAAATATTTTTTTTCCCTGCATGTCATGTGACTATTAACCAAAACCAGAGAGCCATGAACATGCAAATGTTGTTAAATTATTAAATTATTGCCTTAAAATCAGAAGTACTTGAAGTAAATATTTTAGGTCAAAGGTCAAAATACTTCAGTAAGCCCTGTAATATACAAGCAAAAAAATAGCTAACCTCTAGTCTTTAACTAACAGAAGCTAATAAACACTGCATTTGCTTTTCCATTAACTGTAATATTACATAATTTAATCTTAGCATTTCAGCACAAGCCTTCATCAGGATTTATAAAAAGCCTGTGTGCTGAAATAAAGTTTACTTTCTCTACTAGAATCAAACTTAACTTTTTTTTTTTTTCCAAGCACACAAAATAATTATACAAGGTATAACTATTTTGCTACTCGTTTTTAATTGATGTTTATCTGCTTGCAGAAAACGGTGTATGGGGCCAGCGTCATTATATTTGAGGGGATCATGTTATTTGCAGATAAAGAGCTGCTGAAGGTAAACCTCATACAATGTCTTGTTTTCCCTCACCTTCTCAATGACCTGATCTGGAGCATCGTCTGTCTGTGTTTCAGCTGCTAGATATGAAGATCTTTGTGGACACAGATTCTGACATCCGGCTGGTACGGAGGCTCAGGAGGGACATCACAGAGCGCGGCCGGGACATTGAGGGAGTGATCAAACAGTACAACAAGTTTGTGAAGCCAGCCTTTGAACAGTACATCGAGCCCACCATGAGGCTGGCAGATATCGTGGTGCCACGCGGTGAGTTTGCTTTGACAAATGTCAAGCAGATTGCATTATAGGATACAGTCTGCACATTTTGTCAGTTGTACAGAAATTTCACAGTGCACATATTGCATACTGTAGCAGTAGTGCTAGTATGATTTAGGAATGCTTAGTTTGAATTCCTGTTCTTTATTTCCTGTAGGTGGCGGCAACATGGTGGCCATTGATCTTATAGTGCAGCATGTACACAGTCAGCTGGAGGAGGTAAGATCAACAGACATGTTGAGAAGACTAATTTTAATATCTAGCAGTAGACAGCACAGTATAGGCATTCAAAGATACAGTCCCAATTTAAAGCATCATTTCATCATGGTGGGTCTGGTTATGAAGAATTTCAGGTGTGTAATATCGCCCCCTTCTGGATGAAATATTTGACTTATAAACTCACTGTAGACCAGTGGTTCTCAACTTATTGTTACTAAGGCTCCCCACTGTCATCACAATATTCCAGGCTGCCTATTTAATATAATTTTAACAGAACTATAACATATATAATTAACTATCATAATTAATTGTAAATGTAATTATTATGAAATTTATAGAACTAATATATAAAACTATCATTTAAAATTTCTTGACATTTGTAAACAAATTGTATTAAATTTACAATTACAATTAATTAAGATAAATAAATATTTGATATATATATATATATATATCTCATAATCATTTATTTGGGAGTGTCTATATAGGTAAATTAACAAATTGAGGAAAGAGAAATATGATTTATGAATATGAATTATTTAGCATTTTAATTAAGTTAGATTTTAATGTATTTATAATAATATTATATTAAAATAATATATTAATTTAAGTCATTTCGGCAATATTGCAATACATTTCAGGGGGAAATCATCCTTTTAATTATCATTACAAAGAAGATTCTTATTCTTTGCGAGACATATTCACCAATATTTCCTCTATAATGTGGGCGCATACAGCCTGTGTTTTACTGATTATGACTATTACATTCATCTTCATTGTTTCCTCCTAAAGGTTTTTTCTGTGATTTATTAGAGCAATAATCAGTGTGTGCACCTCATGAGAAGTAGTTTGAATAACGCTTGTGCGTTTTGGATTGGGAATGCTTTGCAGTGGACTAATATTTGACATGTCATGTGGTTTGTATCACTGACTGTAATATTGAACAGCAAATGATGTTGTTACTCATTTTCAGGCCCACAGGGAATCTGCACCCACATATTTAATCAAAATTCAAACACTCGTCCTTCAAAGATCTACATGTTCCCGGCCGCTGTGTGTCTGTTGAATATTTTGATAAATTTGATGATATTTCCAGCTATCAGTAAGAATGTAATACTCTCAGCTCCCTGAAATCATTCCACAAAATCCCACAGATTTCCTCCTAAAATCAGCTCAAAAAAGTCCCTTTAAAGCAGATTCTGCGTGGGCCTGTTCATGTTCTGTAATACTGGTGTGACACGTTTTGTTTGGCCTTGCTTCCTCACCGCACTGGATTGTTCTCTCCTCTTCCTCCCCTCGCGGTGGCGCAGCGGGAACTCAGCGTCAGGTAGAGTAGCACTGCTCATCATCTTCTCACTTCCTGTCACTGCCTGCACAGCCGCCGCGCTTGACAGAAGTTTCCCCTCAGCACTGATCTGGGCTCAGTTTGAGAACTGATAATGATATTCAGAGCAGTCACAAATGCAGGAGCGAGGAAACTGGCCTCAGATCAGTCCACAGGGGTAACTTCTACCAGCCTCTCAAACTGAGGCCTGAGCATGACGGAATCTTCCTCCTCCTGAGCCCTGCTGCACTTCCTGTACTGAACAATAGAGGGCAGCGTCTCTTTATGTTGTCACATTGGTCGTTATGAGCATTGGTGTGGTTCAGTTTTTTAAATAATCAATCAAGTGAATTTGAATATCATGAAGACACATGTCATATTTCACCCCAACATCGTTTTTTTTTTTTTTTACATTTTGTTATTATTTTGTTAATTTAATTCAGTGTTATGGTGTTTATTAATATTTTGAATTAGCTTTTATTTTTATATTTTCAGTTTTCATTGTAATTTTAGCAAGTTTTAGCAATTTTGTTAGACCCTTTTGTCATTTTATTAGTTTGTTTTCAAAGTAGTTCTGTATAGATTTAATTTTATTTCGGTTTCAAATACAGTTTTAGTGCTTTTTGTGCATCAGTTTATATTAAATATTTAAATAAATACAAAATTTAATTTAAAATATTAAATATCAATTTAAAATATATAAATAAATTAAATAAAAATATTTATTGTCTAAAGAATATATAAATTATAAATTATTTAATTTAACATATTATTTATTGTATATATTATTTGTTTTTAGTTTTAGTAATTTTAGTACTTAAACTTATTTCAGTTAGTTGTTTTTTTTATGCAGTTTACATTTTTCATGCAATATTTATATTTTATTTTATTGCAGCTTTATTACAATTACTGAAAATGAGTTTCAGCTTTAGTTTTAGTTAGTATCAACACTGATATATTTATTTATTATTATAATTTTTTATTTAGTTTGGTTTAGTTAATTTTTATATTTATTTTCTATATATTTTCTATTATTTAATTGTATTGTCATTGTATTTTTTTTTATATTTATTATATATATATATATTTTTTTTTTTT